GGTGATCAAATACATTGGTGGAAGAAGATTTATGCATCTGTCCCTTTACCATCTCAGCTATGCATGAGTTAATTTCCATGTTAATGATAAAGGATCTGAGGCTCAGAGAAGTTAATAACTTGCCCAGGGTCCACAGCAGAGGTTGTTCTTGAACTCAAGTGTTTCTGGATCTAAACACTATTTTTTTTTCTATACCCTTCTGCCCCCTCCTCCTTATTTTTTAATTATAATTTTTATAGTGATAAAGATAGCACTGAAGTGGGGGCAGCAGGGGGTAAGAGAATCAGTATCAGAGCTACAGTAAAGCTGGGTTTGAATTTGGGCTCTGCTACTTCCTACCTGTGTGACTTTGGGTAAGTATTCTACTTCTCTGTGTCTCAGTTTCTAAAACTGCAACAGAGGGCTGACAACTATCTCATGGGGTTGTTGTGAGAAATAAATGAGGCCATAATTGTGATGGAAATAATACATTTTTTATATTATATACAAAATAACACATTTTTCAGGGATTTGCTAGGTACAGACACTGAGCTGGCCTCAGAGCTTTACATACTTCCTTGTTTTTCTTTCTTTAAAAAACAAACAAACAAACAAACAAAAAAACCTTCTTATTTTGCAATAATTTTAGGTTTACAGGAAAGTTGCAAAGATAGCACAAAGAGCTCCTGTGTAGCCCTCACCCAGTTTTCCCTAAGGTTAGACCTGGCATAGTAACCAAAGTACACTTGTCAAAAGAAATTAATTGGCATGATAATTATAATTGAACTATATACTTTATTTATATTGAATCCATTTTTCCACTCATATCCTTTTTCTGTCCTGTGATTCAATCCTAGTTGCAATATTGCATTTAGTCCTCATGTCCCCTTAGTCTCTCATGATTTTATTTATTTATTATTCATTTATTTTGGTGCTGGGGATGGAACCTAGGCCCCCCACATGCTAGGCAAGCACTCTACCACAGAGCTACCTCCTGGCCCCTCTGCTGATCTTCACATGCATTCTTTTTTTTTTTTTTTAATATTTTTAGTTGTAAATCATCTTTTATTTATTTATTTATTTATATGCAGTGCTGAGGATTGAACCCAGGACCTCACACATGCCAGGCAAGTGCTCTACCACTGAGCCACAACTCTAGCCCCTTCACATGCATTCTTTTATCTCCATTTCCCCTTGAGAAAAGAGTGGATCAGGTGATGATGTCACTGGTCAAGGTCACACAGCCAGTAGGTAGTAGAGTTAGAATTCAACTCCAGGTCTGTCTGATTTAAAGCCCAAGACTTTACCATTCATGAAGAAATTATCAGAAAGAAATCCAGCGTTCTGAATAAGATCAGCACACACAGAATAAGCAGCTCAGGGGGTGAACGACGAAAGCAGAGAGAACTGGCTTTACAGCTTTAGAATACAGACTCAGCAGGATCTGCTGGAACCACAGAGCAAGCCCAGGTAATCTGTTCAGTGGGAAGAGACTTGGACCGTCGAAGGCGCACCTGGGGAGTCATGTGAAGGAATCAAGCTAAGCTCTGGATTAGACTCTGGCAGAAGAGGTTCTCCAAAGGGTCCGGCTAGGCTGGCTGCTCCCTGGCAGCAGAGCCCAGGGCAGGCAGGAAATCAGAAGGGTGAGGGCCAAAGACAGGGTTGGAATTTGCTTAACTGGGATTTCCTGGCAGCTCCCTGTACCCAGAGCACACAGTGGAGTGGCTGCAATCAAACCAGACAGCAAATTTTGGGCCTTATTCACCACCCAAAGCCTACGTGTTTGCCTGACATCTTTAAAAAAAAAAAAAAAAAAAAAATATATATATATATATATATATATATATATATATATGTATGTATTTTAGGGCGGGGGTTGTGGCTTACTGGCAGAACACTTGTCTTGCCCATGCGATGCACTGGGTTTGATCCTCAGCACTACATAAAAATGAATAAACAAAATAAAGATATTGTGTTCATCTATAAATTTTTTTTAAAAATTATATATATAATATATACATATATTATATGTATATATTAGCGACAGGTGGACATAATACCTTTATTTTATTTTTATGTGGAGCTAAGGATCAAACTCAGTGCCTCAGGTGTTCTAGGCTAGCACTCTTCCACGGAGCCACAACCCTAGCCCTTGCCTGACATTTTATGTGTCCAAGTTCTATAGAGGAAGAAACAAGAAATAGAATCGTGGTGTTTATTGCTTAAGGGGAAAAATAAGGGATCTAGCTGGGTGCATGTAAAACAGAGGAGGGGCCCCTGATCCTACTTGGCCCCCCAAGCCCTGGGAATCTGGCCCAGGCATGGCTGTTGTAGAACAAGGTTGGGCATGTAGCAGGTGGTAATGACCATATGTGAAGTTTGTGCACAAGAGAATGAACTAATTTAACTAATTTGCATGTACTCCAGTAAGAAACTAATCAATTTATTTAGATTTGCCCAACATGTAGGACTCAGGACCATCACTTGTTGATCTGATGGATGGGCTCTAGAAGGTTCTCCCGGGAGAGATTTCTAGTCTGTGGTTGTAGCAGTTCACCACAGTGGCTTGCGGTAGAGAACCTGGGGCTGAGGTGTTTAGGCTTGAGTCCCAGCCCACCACCTACTGACTGTCTGATCTTGGGCAGGTCCCTTAACTTCATCAGTATAATAGGTATGAAGATAATGGCAGTGTTATCTGCTTCAGACAGTTAGTAGGAAGATTAAATGAAAAAAAATTCAGAGCGTTGGTATGAGAATGACATGAGTCTAATGCACAAATGTGTGTGTGTTTTAATCTATTCATCTTCAATTGGGCTTGATTTTATAATTGAGCCTGATCCCATAGCAGGCACCTCATATGGTTGGTCATTATAAGAAAATGTCCCTGCCTCTTCCCTCCCCCGCCACAATTCTAATGTAAATGTCTCTGTAAATCAGACTTTTATGCACGCTGTGTGTAATCTATTACAGAATCTGTGTAAGTTAGCTAATATCAACGAGTTGTGCAATCGATATTTTTAAAGCCAAATAACACAGAAGGTCTTAGAGTACCTCACAGAGGATAAGGAACAGGTTGTTTCATGTTTCCATTAGAACACATGCATGTGTGAATTCAGGGTTGTGATGTGAAATACAGTTCCTCCAGGGAGTCGCAGTACAGGGTTTGAAAGCCCTGCTCCAAGGGGGAATGCTGAACAGTCTTCCTCAGCAGAGGAAGGGGCTAGCTAGCTCCCAGATGAGCTGTGCAGTCTACTTCTTTCTTCAGGCTGCTTTGAAGCCCTCCCTCCCACCCAGCCGTACAGGCTTGCACAGTGCCTCAAAGGTCTGTGGTTTATATGGGGAGCTCACTGAACAGAGCCCAGACAGGCACTGCCCTGGGTCCTTTACACACTCAAACTTACACAGTCCTCCCCGTCAACATATAAAGGAGCTTCTCAGTGAGGTCCCTCTACAGCATCAGCATCCCCTGGAAGCTTGTTGAGAAGCAGGTTCTCAGGCTTCACCCCAGACCTACTGGATCAATCTCAGGGATTCAGTAACCTTGTAGTCACCAAGACCTCCAGGTGAACCTTATATCCTCTCAGGTTTTCCAACCACTGCCATTTGGCAAAATGGCACTGCTTTGCCTCTGGGGAAACTGAGGCTCAAAGACAGAAAGTGACATCTCCAAGATTCCAAGATCCTAACACAGTCCTTATAGTAGCACAACTGTTTGTGCGTCTGTCCCTCCTACTGGATGCTGGATCCTTCTCTACAGGGACAGAGATTAGTATGTTTTTATTTTCCACCGTTTAGTAGAAATCCTGACATATCAAGTGCTAAAAATCCTGACATATCAAGTGCTCTATGATCCCTGCTTCCTGGATAAAAATCATAAACATCAATTAAGAATCAGCCCAGGTGATTTATCAAGTTCAGATGGGTATAACCACTCCAAGTGGGTGTTGTGGGGTGAGGGAGGAAGGAAATGGTTAACAATTTGATAAAGTTAAAAAAAAAAAATCCTCTACTGGTTGCGAGACTTCCCAGTAATGAGAAGTCAACATAATTAGACAAGGCACTAAATTTTTGTGCAGACTGCCAGCTGTCATTCTTCTTGACTAGCTCAGATCAAAGAAACGTATTTTATCTCCTAAGTTATTAGACACGACAGGGCCAATAAGTGGAGATATTGTCATAAGAAATATGTTGCTTGCTTTGAAAATAAACATCTCACCTTTGCTTCTTTTCCTCTGTGAAAAGCTGAAAGAAATCGAACTGTTTAACTTGGGACTTTCCAACAATTGAGTAACCCATCACCCCCCACCCCCCAGCAGATCTGGGTTTTAGCTGGAATCTAGCCCCTCCCCCTCCTCCGTTCAAGGATGTCTGCTCCAGGTGTAGGTTGGAACTTTGGGACCAAGGAGACAGCCTGATATGTCTGTTAGCTGGAACCCAGCCCTGCTTCACCAGTCAACTAAACTTGTCACTGTTCCAAAGCTCTGTTTGCCTGGTAAGGAGCCCCCCTCTGCTGGCTCTCCAATGCCTGTTCTTAGCCTTTCTTCATTTCTAACCTGGTTCTGAAAGAGCTCACTCTTCATTCCTACAAGCAATAAAGCTGCTCGTCTGGACTGGAAAGGGGGTTGAATTGGTGATGTTGCTTGCCTACCCACTGCCTGCATGGGAGCTGAGGGACTCCTGGGAAGAGAGACTGTGTCACTTAGAGTCCAGGCAGAGAGAGGTGATGCTTGAAAATAGGACATTAAAAGGGAGTTTAGAGCTGGGGGCAGTGGCACACACCTGTGATCAAGAGGCTGAGACAGGAGGAAGATCACAAGTTTGAGGCCAGCCTCTACAACTTAGCGCAACCCTATCTCAAAACAAAAAATATAGAATTGGGGATGTAACCAGTGGTAGAGAGCTTACCTAACCCGTGCTGGGCTCTGATTAAATCTCCAGTGTCCCCCCCAAAAAATGTTGTTTAAGGAAGGGACTAATTTTGTGTGTGGGCAGGGTTAAAGGATGAGCAAGCACCCCAGGACTAGCAGCAGAGAGCCATTGTTACCCTTAGGTGTGAGAAGTAAGGAGGAGACATTATTGGAACTGGATTGAGTGTCACAGCCCAGCACAGGTGCCACCAATATGACCTGTGGTGTGGCCACAGAGGGAAGCAGGCAGCTTCAGCCACAGTGGATGGGAGTAGTGCCTTCCTCCTTCTCCTCTTCTGCTGGTGCTTCTGATTGGTGGAACTCAACAGGAAGTCTGAGGGTTAGGGAACCTGGCTGAGGCCCTCAGTAGCGCTCAGCTTTCTGGGGTACAGAGCAGTGTCTGGGAAAGAAGAGTAGATGTGGGGAGTCAGTGGAGGACATCTAGCACACACTGAAGCCCTGTCACCAAGGGGGTGGACACATCCAGGCAAGACCCACTCAGGATGGTAGAGACCTGGTGAAAGCTATGCTGCATGGATAGGGAGGGAGGCCCCAGTAGAATTTGCCAGCAAGCCATCAGGAATAATGAGGAAGATTTACAAAATGAAACTTGTGCTGGGACCCCACGGTCCTAGTGAGGTTTGTGTGCCCCAGGGAATGGAGGACTATGTCCTTGAATCGGAAAAACCCAAGTACAACACTGAATTCTGTGATAGCCAGACACAAACAGCCTTGCTGTGGGGACCCACCTGCACCAACCAAGCATAACAGGGGGTGTGCTCTCCTTGCTTCACTGGGTTGATGAAGACCGCTTCTAGCTTTCTAGCTCCGCTGGCCCCTAGATGGTGGCCTGAGCTGTAGGCCCCGAGGCCCACCTGAAGTGCCTCTCTGTGCAGGTGTGGGGCCCTGTTGGCCTTACCCTTCCTGATGAGACAGTTGGGAAGGTCCAGGTCTGACACATGGACACAGGCAAGGGGACACATTCCCCTCCCTGGGGAATCCCACAACTAACTGCGTGTGACTGCAGAAGGCTGGATTTCTTGACTCAAAAAAGAGGAGACTCAAAAACACCATGCCTTGGGAACCAGCGCACTTGTTCTCATTGGTGGGTGAAGCCTGGGACCTCTTCTCATCCTTGCAGCTGAACTTCAGGATTGGGGCTCTGGTTACACTTAAAAAAAATAATTAAAAATATATTTTAGTTGTAGATGGACACAATACTTTTATTTTATTTATTTATGTATTTTTTGTGGGGTGCCAAGGATCGAACCCAGTGCCTCCCACATGCTAGGCAAGCACTCTACCTCTGAGCCCCAGCCCCAGCCCCTTTGGTTCCATTGTTACAAATGCAGACTCAGTTCAGAGAAAGCATCCTGGGCAGGCTGCAGACTCTCTCTCGCAGGCCCTCCCTCATCCCTCTGCTTCCCTGTAGCCTCCTTGCTCCAATAAAACTTGTCCAACTCCTTACTTTAGCACCTGCGGGGCTACTCTTCCCTCTGTCTGGAATGATCTCCCCTCCAGACATCCACACCATTCATGCCTTAGATCTTTATTAAATGTCACCTCTTCAGAGAGCCCTCCCCTAAGCACCCGACCTGAAATACCCCTTCCCCACCAACCCTTCCGCTTCCTTACCCAGCTTTGTTTTTAACACAAGCTGAAATGATCTTGTTTTTGTTTTGCTTGTTTGTTTATTTGTTGACTGCCAGCATTTTGTCTCAGTCTTAGAACAAGTGCATAGCACATGGTTATGGTTAGTTTGGTTTGGTTCGGTTTTTAGATGAGATGAAATTTACCTAACATAAAATGTTTGTTTATGTTAGGTAATATAGTTGACCCATTTTTCTGGGTGCAGTAATGATCAACATTAATCCTAGTAACATGGAAGACTGAGGCAGAAGAATTTGAAGTTCAAGGCAGACTCAGCAACTTAGTGAGACCCTATCTCAAAATCAAAAGGATTGGGGATGGTAAAATGCCCCAGGTTCACTCCCAGCACTTTAAAAAGAATTTTTAACCATTTTAAAGTGTACTATTCAGTGATATTAGTATGTTCACAATGTTGTGCAATCGCTGTCTCTATTCAGTTCTAAAACACTTCCATCATCTTCTACTTATTGAAAAAGTCATTCCCCATCTCCCAGTAACCACCAATTTGCTTTTTCTATGAACTTACCTATACTGGACATCCCTATAAATGGATTCAGACCATATGTGACCTTTCTTTCACATAGCATAACATGGTTGAAGCACAGTCATGCTGTGTTATGTATCAGTACTTTATTTCTTTTTTATGACCGAATATATATACAGACACAATATTTTGTCATCTATTTATTTATGAGTCTCACTTCATTGCTCAAGCTGGTCTTGAACTCCTGAGTTAAATTGATCCTTCCACCTTGGCCTCCCAAGTGGCTGGGGCTTCAGGTACACACCACTACCAGGCTTCCACTCATTTGTTGATGGACATGGTGTTTTTATCTTTTGGTTATTAAGAACATTTATCTGTAAGTATTTGTTTGAGTACCTGTTTTCAATTATTTTGGGTATATATGTAGGAGTAGAATTGCTAGGTCATATGATAATTCCATATTTACATATTTACATGTTTGTAGAATGAATGAGCAAGTATTATTGTTGTTTGTATTCTTGATAACTTCCATTCTGACTGGCGTGAGATGAAATTTTAGAGTAGATTTGATTTGCATTTCCCTAATAACTAGAGATGTTGAACATTTTTTCATATATTTGTTGATCGACTGTGTATCTTCTTCTGCGAAGTGTCTGCTCAGTTCCTTAGCCCATTTATTGATTGGGTTGTTTGGGTTTTTTTGTGTTAATTTTTTTGAGTTCTTTATGTATCCTGGAGATTAATGCTTTATCTGACATGTGTGTGGCAAAAATTTGCTCCCAAAATGTAAGTTCTATGTTCACCTCATTGATTGTTTTTTTTTGCTAAGAAGAAGCTTTTTAGTTTGAATCCATCCCATTTATTGATTCTTGATTTTATTTCTTGTACTTTAGGGGTCTTGATAAGGAAGTCAGGGCTTAATCTGACATGATGAAGATTTGGGCCTGCTTTTTCTTCTATTAGGTGTAGGGTCTCTGGTCTAATTCCTAGGTCCTTGATCATTAGTGATTATTTGTATGGGGCCATAGGTGTACACAGCACCCCACAATACCCAGAGGAAGCTAGAGTACAAGGCAATGTTTCTACCCTCTAGGGACATCCCTCCTTGGCTGCAGATGGGAACAGGCACACATGGGAATCAGAGGGACTCACACAAACCAAGAAGGCCTGACTGGGAAGAGTGAGGTGGGAGAAAGGGGCAGATAAAGATTTCTTTTTTCATTTTCTTTTTGGTACCCATCCCCAGTCCCTTTTATTTTTGTATTTAGAGATATGGTCTTGCTAAATTGCTGAGGCTGGCCTCCAACTTATGATCCTTCTGTCTCAGCCTCCTGAGTCATTGGGATTATAGGATTATGCCACCATGCCTGGCTTGCAGGGGACTTTTGAGGGGCCTCCATGTGCCCAGTATTACACAGATATCATTCAATCTGCTGAAGAATCCTAGAGTGTATGGATTTTTATCTCTACTTCCAAGTGAAGGGGTTGAGATCTAGGCTCAGTGCAATTTCTCCTGCATTTCCTGAATATTTCCTAGCTGTGAGAAGGATGCTACCACTGAGGGCATACTATACCTGGGCATATTACCTGGCAGAGGATTGCAGGAAACAGAGAATGGGCAAATGGGGGATTGGAAAGAGGAGCTGGGAATTTGGCCATGTATTCTTTACTCTTTTTCTCTAGAATCTTGTCTGACTTGGGAGTTTGGGGTGAATACATGGGTTTTGGAATCGAGTGTTCTGGGTTCAAGTTCTCCATTGCATAAGCCCAGAATGAGTCCCTCCTCTCTGAGTCACTGTTTTTTTCTCTGCAAAATCAGCACAAGAACCATTTCCCCCCTGGTGGTCCATGTCAAGATTAAATGAAGCAATGCATGTACAAGTGTCTGGAGCCTAGAATGGGTCAAGAGTTGCTGATCATGGGGCTGGGGATGTGGCTCAAGCGGTAGCGTGCTTGCCTGGCATGCGTGCGGCCCAGGTTCGATCCTCAGCACCACATACAAACGAAGATGTTGTGTCCGCCGATAACTAAAAAATAAATATTAAAATTCTCTCTCTAAAAAAAAAAAAAAGAGTTGCTGATCCACCACCAGAAAGTGTTGAGGAGGGAGGGACAACGGAAGGTAGAGGCATGTTTGGTGTTTTTATCCAGAGTCACTTAACATTTCAGTGCCTCCATTTCCTCATCTGGGCAAGGGAGATGATTAATTGTCTTCCTTGTGAGGTGTGAGGATTAAATGAGTTAGTATAAGTAACGAGTTTTGAGCAGTGCCTGACACAGGTTTAGCTCTCAATTCTCAATATGTCTCTGCCATTATTAGTTCCTTACCCCTTTTGCCTTTGAGTTGAACCCAGAGGCTCTGCAGAGTGAATCAGTCCTTAGACGAGTGGGAAAAGTAGTCACAGTGAGAAATGTTTGATGCTGCAGCAAGCAGAGGAAGGATACCCTGGCCCTTGGGCCCCCAGTGTTTTCTGGGAAGGAGAGGGATGGGCACCATCCCTGAGCCTTTGCTGTTCCCTACAAGGAATCCCCACCCCTAATCCCTGTTCTTTTCCTTTCCAATTGGCAATATACATATTGCACTTCTACTACATGCCAGGCACCTTGATGGTGGCTGGGTACCAGGAGCCTATCTGAAAAAACAAAGCAGGCGCCATCTGCTTCTCAGGTTCTTGAACATTGTCCTTGGACAGAAGAGAAACACAGATTTTCTTTGGTGTCCTGTTGAAATCTGAAACCAAACACAGAGGCACCTTGCCCTGACCCACAGCAGCTCATTACTCTGCTTCACTGGGGGTATCAGCTTCAACCTCAGATTTTCTAGAAGACGCTAATGGGGTTCAGGATGTGTTACCCTAAAATATGGCACCTTGACATTTGAGAGAATAGCAGAAGCAGGAAGGTCACTCTTTCTTCCTTCTTGTCATCCTACCCTGAGGCAGGTAACAGGTTCCTCAACCAAGAGATTACCTCCCTATGCCCAGAAGAATGGAATATCCTTATCTCTGAGGACACAGAAATTGCAGGGACTGAACAGACAGGCCTTGCTACATTCCCCCTAGTTTATTACCATCAGATTGTCCTCTTTTGTCCTCCAGACACACATCTCCATGACTGTCCACTCTTCATGAAACCTAGGCATAAAAATACATAGTTACTAGCCACACACAGTGGCAATGTGCCTGTTGTCCCAGCTACACGGGAGGCTGAGGCAGGAAGACCACTAAGCCCAGGAGTTCTAGACCAACCTGGGCAACATAGTGAGACCCCATCTCAAAGTCTAAGCAAAAAGCAAAAATATCCCCACATTTCCCTGTTTGTGTTCCATTCTCTTACAGAGGGAGTGTGTCTCATAAACATATAGCACGTCTGTATGCTTTTCTCTTGTTAATCTCTTTCATACCAGATGCCTCGCCATGAACCTGGGGATGAGAAGGAAAGACATATCAATTTCCTTATGATTCCATTGACAGTCCCTTCCAGAAGTCAGAGCCCCTCTCCTGTGTTTGCTCAGTGTCCTGAATTTCTCCCTCCTCTGGCTCTTCATGCTTTGTGGTCATTGTGATTTTTGGAATCATTCCTTCCACTGGACTGCAAATGCCATGAGAGCAGGGGTTGTGTCTCTTTTCACTTTTATACCCCCATCTCCAAATGCCATGCCATTAGAAAGCCTCCAATGGAAACACTGAATGAGGAAATGGCAGAAAAGAAAGCATTCTGCGGGGAAAAATTCACATACACTAAGAATCTTGCCTTTCTTCTTGAGTAGCTGGGATGAGAGTAGAGCTTTGGCAAACCAGGTTAGCTCAACCTTTCTGGGGCCAAACCAAGGAGAGGGAGGGTGATTATTTTTTTCTCCCCTACTTGTTGCTCGGGGTGCTAAAGGCAGCAGCACTTTCCTGCTGGGCCCAGGAAGGACGCCTCTCAATATGTCTCTGCTGTGGCCTGGGCCCCCATAGTTCTGAACTACTGTCTGGGGTTTTATTCACCCTCTCATATCTGGGTCCCCCCATCCCTGACTTGACACTTGAGAATCCCTTTCTGTCTACCTTGGTTTTGAACAAAGTGCATCATCTCTCCCAGAAGAGCCCAGAGACTTGTCTCCACTCAGCTGCTGGAGATCTTGGGCTGAATTGGTAGCAGGCCCCCACTAGGCCCCCAAACCTCCTGTCCTAGACCCCAGTATGGCTTTGACTTCTTTCCAGAAACTGCACTGGCTGGGCCTGGTGGGATCCTATGATAGTTCCCACCAAACTCCCAAGCTGACTGCAGACATTTGTGCTGTCAACAGAATTGCAGAAAATGCAATTCATGTTGTTAATGAGCAGCTTGTTTGGGTAAACAAACCAGGTGAGGTGAAAAAAGTGATGCTCTCCAGCAGGAAACACAAGCCAACATTAGCCAGATGGAGAGCCGCACACTTCCACGTGTTTCCTATTCGGGAGGCTCTGGGTGGCTGGAAGGGGCATTCCCGTGCTGCTGGGGAGCTGGGACTGTGCATACCTGCCTAGCCTGGACAAGAGCCACCTTGTGCCCAGCATCACCCTGAGTCTGGCACTGTGCCTCATGTCCTACCCAATTTTTGTCTGCTTTATGCTGGGTTCTCATAGCCCCATGTAGTGCATGTCAGAACTGGGGAAACTGAGGCTCTAAAATAGGGAGAGGCTTGCCCAAAGTCAGGATGGTGAACTTGAACCCAGGTCATCCTGACTCTTCAACTTCATGGTCTCACCACTAACCTGCAGAGTCCTCTCTGCCCGCCTCCCCCCTCCTCAGCACCTCACTATCTAATGGAGTGTCTGTGGCTGCCACTCACCACTTACTCCCTCAGACTACGTGGTTGAGGAGAATTTGGACTTCTTTCCTCTTTGGTCAGGGTGATAGGGTGATGCAGTTTTCTAACAGTTGTACAGGTAGATCTTTGACCAGCTTCTCTATAACAACAAAACTGTGTATGTGTGTGTGCATGTGCGTGTGTGTGTGTGTGTGTGTGCGTGTGTGCATGTGCATGCATCTACTATTCAACCAAGAGGAACTGACTTATCCTTGGAAATCAAAAACTTAGGGGCAATCTGTACACGTAGAAAAATGAGAATTCATAACCATTTGAATAAATTTTTGATATGTCAAGATCATTGTATTGTCTTGAGCAACTAATAAAAAAACTAAATAAAAACCAAAAAAAAAAAAAAAAAAACAAAAACCCTTAGGGGCATTTATAATCCTCTCATCATAAACTGACTACACACTACACATTCTGTTTTGTTAGCTTCAGACCACGCAGGACAACATAAACCCCACCCCCAATACAAATGGATAGGGCTGCATCTGACAAACACAAATGGTTTGGGTAATTGCAATGGCTAAATCTGTCCCCCATGAAGACAGGGCCACAATATTAGAATGCCATGAGTTATGTTCACCTTAACATTCAAGAGTAAAGAGTCCATTAAACTGTCATTGGCCACATAACCAGCAGGAGAAGTTGGGACAGACACCTTGGTTTTAGCTGCCCAGAGCACACATGCTCTGCCCCCAGATGAACACTGTATGGTGTCTGTGTGCATTTTGCCCTAGAAGCAGAAATCAATGACTCTAACTGCTATTAGAGAGACGATCTAGTTGGAGAGGCTTGCTGTGAATGCAGCCCCCATTCATTATTGAACTCTTTACATGTATTATTTCTTTTTTACTACAAGAAAACTGAGGCCTGGAGAGGAAAAAAAAAAAAAAACTATCACAGAAGTGAGCATGGTTCATGCTCGGATTTGAACCATGATCTGTCTGGCTCCAAATCCTATGCACCTAACCACCAGCTACCCTGCCCTCCTGCGCAGGGCCTACATCATGGAGACTACCTGTTTTTGAGGGGCCTCTGTGTCAGGCCCTGTGGATGATTTCACTGTGTCCTCATCACATCCCTCTAGGGCAAGAAAACTTCTACTATCTTGGTTTAACAGCTAAGGAGATTGTTGCTTGGAGGGGAACAGGAAGGGACTTGCCCAAAGTCCCCCTGGCTCCAATGTGCCCAGTGTGTGTGAATGAAGGGGGTTTTTCTGTTCTGTTACGCTGCTATCCAGCTAGCGACACAAGCTCAGAAGCAGAGGAGCACCCATGAGCGGCGCCTTCGCTGAGTTCAGAAGCGTCTCCACTGAGCAGCTCAGCTTCTTTCATGTAGGTGGAAGTCTTTCCTTTGAATGAACCAATTATGTTCAAAAACCACAAAAAATTATGCATATTAGCTAATGAGGATGCTGTTCATGGTATTTTTAGCTCGGGGGTGGGATGAGGGAATATGGAGAGCTTGGTATAAATTGTTTTGGAAGAGGCAGCTTGGGAATCAGATAGTCCTTAGCATAATAAGCCCCAGCTTTTACCTCTTTAGGCTGGGTGATGGTGCGCATGTGTACGTGCGCACAAATCACCTCCCTCTTTGAAAGTGTGTATATAGTTCTGGACCTTTCAGGGGTGTTGTCAAGATTGAAAATAGCTCTTCCTGTAAGCTGCCTGCAGGGATTTGTGATAATGGTTCACTATTTACTTGACCCAGAAAACACTACATGATCATGAAAATCAAGAGGTTCAAATCTTTGTGGTCATTTTAAGAATGCCTGTGAAACTGCTAGGCCATCAAGGCTATGCATATCTGAAAAGTCACAAAGTATCTGAAAGATGTTACTTTAAAGAAGCAATGTGTGCCATTCTGGCCTTAAAATGGTCCATCTGGGGATATGTGCAGGCCAAACAATAAAGCTGGACACAAAGTTGGTGGCCCCCAAAAGGTGCTGATTTTTGGCTGCATGTGCTGAACAATGCAGACAATAATGCTGAGCTTAAGGGTTTAGATTATATTCTCAGGCTATAGAAATTATCCAGGTGAGCAAAGCAACCAAGATTGCACATGCCTGTGCTCTTAGAGCTCACCGTAGGATTACCCCACACATGAGATCCCCCAGCCACATGGAGGTGATCCTCTCTGAAAAGGAATGAATTGTTCCTAACTCAGAAGAGGAGGTCATAGAGGACAGACTGAAGAAACAAATAACATGAAAAATTAAGCATAAAATAAATAAAAGAAAAAAAATTGATGATAACATGAGTAAAATACAACCAGTCATCACCAATTGTGATAATTATGCATTTATCACATATTTATTATCTCTGGGTCCTTAGTATCTACAGCTATAATTATTTTATCCTCATTACTATCCTATGAAGTAAGTATTAGCAGTATCGCCCTGTCCACATGAAGACATTAAATTAAGGGCAGATACTTTGTTCTAATGGGACCAGGATTCAATGTCTGGCAGGCAGTATCCCTAGCCACCAGGTGAGGTTGCCTCTACTGTACCTGGAGAAATTTTGACTTTCTCCAGCAGAAGGCAGAGCTCATAGGGAGTTGAATCATTATTTTTAGGAGCCAGGATCTCCCTTGAGAACCTCAGTAATCCACTTACAAATTAAAAACAACTCTGTCATCAAACTGGGTCAAAATCTTTTCCCTCAATGTCATGGCCACTCTGGCTGATCAGTAAAAACTCTGCCCAGAGCAAGAAGTCAGATTGCTGGGATCTCAATCTCTACTCAGATGTTGAGTCCACTGCCATCATTCATGATGTGTGTCTGGATTGGCCAAGTGAGAGAAATACTTGATTAAAACTTTAGCATTCAAACAATTAAGTTTTCTAACAACTAAAACAAAAATGGCTACCTGCTTAAGAGAAGGGGTAGTCCAAATAAATGAGAAAAAATAATTTTATATGGTACATGTGTGCATGTACACACACACACACACACACACACACACATATATATATTTTTTCCCCAAATGTCCTGACAAGTAGAGTTATTATCCAAAGTGGGTGAAGAAGGGTCAAATTCAATTCAGCTGGGAATACAACGCATGAATCTGAGGTGGTCATTGAAATGGTTGACTATTCACTTGATTGTTTTCTGTTTTTGCAGTGCTGGGGATGGAACCCAGGGCTTTGTACAATGCTAGGCAAGTGCCCCACCACTGACTTGCATCCTCAGCCCTGCTATTCATTTGAAAGGAGAAAACATGTGCAGGAAGGAATGGCAAGGTGATGAGCAGCAGAGGCCAGAGATTTGAAGATGGGGAAAAGCAGGGGGCCAGGGAGCAAGTTCAAGAACACAGAGGTCCTTTTACAAAGTGTCCAACATAAGCCATCAGAGGGAAATTGAAGAGGATGTGCCAGGCCAGATTCTGTGCTGTTTAATTTACACACACTTCTTATTACATCCAGCACCAAACACACAGTAAGCCCATGGGAAATGCTTGTTGAATGCTACACTGCAGGGCCAGGAGAGGAAATGGGCCTCCTCAGGGAACAAGAAGGAGTCCTAAGCACAGGACCTGACACAGAGGAAGGAATAACTATTTACTGAATACTAAATATAT